TTGACATGAATGATTAGATAACATCGTGTGAATGTGTGTGTCATTTTCCAGCGTAACACTAATAATCAACAAAGAATTTATAACATTATCAAAGTAATCAACACAGACCGGCGCTTGCGAGTTTTAATCTCACCGATAATTGATTGGTGATTGCTTGTTAATCTTTTCTGGCTTCACACCCATTGAGTGTTAATCTCACCGATAATTGGATGCTTCACACCCACCGATTGAAGTACGGATTATACGGTGTCGATTCAATGGAAATTATGTGACGGGACGGCTGATTGGTGTCGTAATCCGGAACATACAGAATCCGGATTTACCAGCTATTTATTGGCTGAAGTAATAAGTAAATAAATTGGGACATGAAAATCATGTCGGATGTCACAGCAATCCGGAGTGATCAGACATCGGATGAGACAGAGTCCACTGTATAATTAGTGTTCATTATTACAGATATAATATTCTAAAATCATGTTGATAATATTACCTTCGACGACGTTATGGCAATTATATTTGTACCATATAATCCCATAGGATATGCAAGAGTCAATCTCCATTTCGTCCAATATTCTACAAATAGAATATGCAAAGCCAGACCATCCATGCATCTATAATGATTAAGAGATTTAAACTCTTAACTAATCATTTATTTACTATTTATAAGAGTACATTTTGTCAAGTTTATCATTTCGTATTCGACCTTCATCTGCGTATACGATTAAATTTTGTCAAGAGTATTATGTCTAATTCAACCTTTACCTGCATAATGGAAAAACCCCGTAGTAAGCGTACTCGTGTAGAATTAACCGTAAAATCAAAAGTAGAACTTATGAAAAAGAGTGACCCTAGAAGCCAAAGACAATTGACCGAAGAATTTGGAACTGGTAAGGACCATGTACAGACTATTTTCAAAAGAAAGGCAGACATTCTTGTTGGATACGAAAGAAAAAAAGAGACAGCGACAGGAAACGTCTCCGTGTTTGCTCGCCGATGGAAGAATTAAACACTCTGATGTGGTCGTGGTTTCAGCGTGTGGGTGGAAAAGGTGCCAATGTTCTGATCTATGCTTCGCGAAAAAGCTTCGCCATTCGCCAGAGAACTAAACATTCCTGAATCTGATTTTAAAGCATCAAATGGATTTAGAGAAAGGCACATTTCATTTTTAAAGATATGCGGTGAAAGTGGTAGCGTAGATGACGAACGTTGTGAAATAATGGACCGATAGGGTACCTGACAGTGTCATTGGTTACCAGACCCAGGATATCTACAGCATGGATGAGACACGAGTGAATTATCGCGGCCTCCCCGATAAAACGCTCTCTGTTCGTGGTGAAACTTGTTCTGGTGTCAAAAGATCAAAATACAGACTTACTGTTATGCTTTGTGTCAACATGTTGGGAGAATTTGAAAAGGTGCTTCAGAAATTTGATTTCTTGTAGGTCGGTTAAGTGGAGACCCAATAAAAAGCACGGATGACATGATTTTAATCGAAAACTGAAGATAAATAAAAGAAACGTTTTGCTATTCATGAACAATGCACCGGGCCACCTGGATATGAAACTATCAAATGTCAAGATCGTGTATAAAACCCAGTACACCCAGCCCTATGAAAGAGTCCCAAGAAGTAACGAATTCATCAATTTAGTGTCCATCACTTTAACTTGAAACATAAACACATGCAACATATAAAACTATTACATACGTATTCTACAATTGTCACTGCACTGTATATACCTTAATGTCCTTCTAACAAGCACAACTTTTTAATTATAGGTCTTGAATATCCAACAATTACTTTTTTGAAAATTCAATAAGAACCCGCGAAAGAGGCCACATACCACAGGCTATATTATTATGAAAATCACCAACTTTAAAATTCCGTGTACATTAGTTAGCCCAATAGGAGCAGGGCAGTGGGTCGTTAAACCCCATTCCATTCCATTTCATTCCATTTTCAACATGTCCCGTGTTTGATACCGTTGTTGGCCGAAAATGATCATCGAGGTTCTGTACCGGCGTAGCTACCCCTTATCAGTGTTGCAGGGCGGAAACTACTTGGATATACTTATATGAGATACGGCTTATTCGGATATCAAGTGAGTAAATAAGATTATATCTACTACTTGTTATATCCGTACCCTATGAAATGAAATGAAATGGGATTTAACGTCGTACTGTTCTACTCCTAACCTGGGCTAATGAAGACGGTCATACGCCATGTGAGTGTGCTATGAGGGATATTTTGCTTGGGCAGCGGCGCTACGGCCTACTCTTATATCGAATTCCAACTGCCAAGGGATCTTTTACATTCACGCCAATGTGTATACGGAACCTCGGTTTCTCGTCCCATCCGAACGACTAGACAGATGTCCTTGTCAGGCCCTCCGTCCTGCATCACTGACAAGGGGAAACCACGCCTGAAAATCTGGATGAACTTTCTTGGCCAATGCAGGGATCGAACCCGTACCCTATGGATCTTGTAATAAGAACTAGAAATAAATAAAATGGTGAATAACGTTCTACTCGTCTGCACCGACTGCGCTAATGAAGACGGACATATACGCCATGTAGTGGTGGGCTACGGGGGCTACGGCCTACTCTTACATCAAATTCCAATTGTCACTTTTCTTTTATGTGCACACCCACGTACACGGAACCTCTTTTTGTCCCATCCGAACGACTACACCCCCTGTACAAGACACAATTAACGTTGTATAATTAGTACACGAGTTGTGTACTCCATGGTTACGGGTTCAATATTGTAATTAACAAAGAAATACATAGCATAAAAACGATGAGGCGTAAGCCGGCGTAAACGATTGCCGTTCCATTTGAACTGTTCACGTATTCCACACGACATAATTGATAAGAAATTACAATATTTGTTTCAAAAATTGAAAATAAATCACTTTATATATGAAAAATGGTTCTAAAAGCACATATTAGAACCATTTTTGTCTAATTGGAGGTTCAAATAGATAGAGCCATGCACCCTTTAACATCGTAATGTTTTGCTCTGACTGTGTCTGTTGAGGTTAAATAAAATTTCATGAAAGAAAAAAACAACAACAAAAAAACCCCAAGCAGTCAAAGACCATTTAAAACAGTTTGAATAACTGTTATTTATGCAGAAAGAAGAATTAAGTACACTTATAATACATTTGTCAGGCTGAGGCGTTTTTATTACTAAGCGAACAATTTTAAAAGATAAATGTACAAACATCCAAATTATCAGGTGAGGAATTTGTGTTTCTTAGTAAGTTTACCTTTACATGTTTTCAAATTTATGTCGCCTATGGCTTTTTTATTGCTTTTTCTTTTATTTGCGTTCACGTGGGCATAACATAACTCAGCTGTTAATACTAGTTATTACTGATTCAAAAACATGCTATTATGCTTTGTCAAAACGTATCTTTTTAATTTTAAATCAGTATTCATCATATCTTGAGCAGATTGTTATTAGAAAAAAATGCTGAACAATAACGGAGAAAAAGGTTAGTGTGGTTCAGATCCATGTACAATTGGCATGCCAATGTGTACACAAGATATCGAGTTTCCATCCTATCCGATCGACTATACAACTCTCTTTATCAGGCCTTCCGTTCTGCACCACATACAAGGGGAAACCGCGCCAGAACCCGAGACCTCCAGGTCAGCTCTTCACTGAGGCACTTTGGCTCCCCCAATTAAATGAATGCTATTAATTTTGAGTAATATTCAAAATAACCGTTGAGCTCAAAAACTCCCAAAAAATGAATAATAACAAACAATAAGCATATTATATAATAGTTTGTGTGCCGGTTTAGAAGTCATGATTCTTATAGTAATGGATACAATGAACTGGTCATTATCTTGAACTGTCATTTCTCAATGCCATATAAGTAAAACCACTTTTACGAAACTATTTTCGGACATCAACATATTTATCATAAATCCAAGAACCCTTGAATTCCTTTTGAGTGAGCTACAACCTTCATCGCTGAGCCACAGTGACGTACATGGGTCATGGTACAAGCTCTATATGGACAAGAGTTCTATCGGGGTTTTCTGAGGAACAAATATCAAGAATCTTGGGCAGTGATCCAGTGCCTTGCCGAGCCACAGTGGAGCGTTTTAGTAATGGGACAAGCTCTAAATGGAAATTGTAATTAGGGTATTTATTGTAGATCCGAGAACTGCATCGTGATTTTCCGACATGGTCCCCCCTCCCTTGTCAGTGGTGCAGCGGGACTGATTACCTGACAAGGTCATCTGTCTGGTCCTTGGGATAGGACGAAAAACCGAGGTCACGTGTATACATTGGCATGCACGTAAAAGATCCCTTGGCAGTTGGAATTCAATATGAGACTGGACCATAGTGTCGTTGCCCGGGAAAAATTTACGTCACAGCACACTGCATGGAGATTGCCCGTCTTCATCAGCCCAGTCTGATCAGAACAGTAGGACGTTAAAGCCCATTACATTTCATTTTCATTTTCAATTTAGATATACGAATTCATGACCCGTAGTTATCAAGCCCTCGCCTTACTCACTGAGTCACGGTGGCTCTCATTCCACAGTGGATAAGCTCTATATAATATTTTATTTTACTCGACCTATTTAAATTCGATAGAGTATATCACGCGTAGTTAACGTGTATAGTGTGTATTTGTACACCAGGAAGTATAATTACAAAACGGATAGAATAGGCGAGGGGTCACTTAATTAGATGATATATTCATATTACACACAAATATAACCAGCTAAACATTGCATACTCATAGCTGTCCCATATAGATATAAATTACAAGTCAGTTGAATAGAGGACAACGTTTAATACATTCTAACAGGTGGGTATATGAATAATTGGAACGTATTGAGATGAAATTATCAATATAATAACATTAGGTAAGTTATGACAATTATATTCACGTGTTCTTAAAATAACTATGATTTACTATAGTTAATTTACTCGCTAGCCTGAAGGTCGCGTGTTCGATCCCTGAATTGGCCGAAAAAGTTCATCTGGAATTTCCGACGTGGTTTCCCCTTGTTAGTTGTGCAGGACAGAGAGCCTGACAAGGACAACTGTTTAGTCCTTCGGATGATATAAAAACCGAGGCCCCGTGTACACATTGGCGTGCAAGTATATAGATCCTTTGACAGTTGTAATTCGATATAAGAGTAAGCCAAAGTGCCGCTGCCCAAGCAAAATGTCCCGTCTTCATTAGCCCAGTCAGAGATGAACAGTGGGACAATAAACCCCATTTCATTTAATTTCATTTTTACAGTTGTGGGGCCGGGTGGGCGTGAATACACTGCCGTCTCTAGAAGGTTGGATATATGAATGAAAGGGTCGTATTGAGTTTAAATTGTCAATACAATAACATTAGGTAGGTTATGGTGTTCGTATTTACTCATCTGCAAACATGTTCTAAAAATAACTATAATGTGACATGTTTACTGGGGGGGTTTAAAATAGCGGCGTGAAGTTTAGACATATGAATGAATTGGTCGCATTCAATTGAACTTGTCAATGTGATAAGTTATGACGTTCGCTTTATCTTAAGATATCTATATTACACTATATAGTTAATGTGACATAATCATTTGTATGTGTGGGTGGTGTCATGAATTAAAATTTATTGCACTTGACATGAAATGTTTAACATTTTAATTTTCTACACTAACAGAGATAATGAAGACGGGCATACGAAATACAGCGTGTGGTATGGGGGACATTTTGCCTGGACATTTTGCTGCCTCCTTTTCGTGCAAGCCAACAGACACACTCGATTTTCGCCCCATCCGTATGTTGTTCAATTTCGGGCATCCTAGACTCGTCTAAAACGAGTTAAAGTATAGTTTCTTTCTGATTCTATTTGCAGGGAGATGGTCAGACAGTATCACGCATTAACAACTGTAATATGCATTTGTATCACACTGACTGGTAATTCAAAATTGCATTTTATTAAATTTCAGTGCTGTGTTTTTGTATATGAAATCTTCATACTTAAAGATACATTATGAGCTAGCAGTTTAAAAAATTGATAATGTAAAGGGTATTTGATGAAAATTTCAGTCAAATTACATTTTATTAAATTTCAGTGATGTGTTTTGTATATGAAATCTTCATACTTAAAGATACATTATGAGCTAGCAGTTTAAAAAAAATGATAATGTAAAGGGTATTTGATGAAAATTTCAGTCAAATTGACTCACTCTGAACCGAGAATTTGGCGATTGAATTTTCGGCCTAGCCTCGATCATCATTACTAAAGTCGGTACTATAAAAACATAGTCACGATTATCCATTTCATGATTTAATCATGAATGAAAGGTGAGCAGCAAATCGGATCCTAATCCGGTAAATATCGCAGACTAACGATGACATCGATAGTTGATTATTGTCTGGATAAGTTAAATAATGTCTGATTAATAATTTAGATAACATTTCATGCCTAATCCGGTAAATATCGCAGACTAACGATGACATCGATAGTTGATTATTGTCTGGATAAGTTAAATAATGTCTGATTAATAATTTAGATAATATTTCATGCCTAAAGAAAAGGCCTGCAATAGCCAGATTTAGCTTGTATAATATTGGCGTGCACGTAAAAGATCCCTTGGCAGTTGAAATTCGATATAAGGGAAAACTTCCCTCATAGCATACTGTATGGCGTATTTCCGTCTTCATTAGCCAAGTTTAGGAGCAGAACAGTAGGACGTTAAACCCCATTTCATTTCATTTCTTGCATAATATATGTTTAATATGTCCGTGAATGAAATATAGATTTAATAAATGTGTCTATATTTTTAAATATAAAAATTAAATTCAGTAAAAATGTAAGCTGGGTGAATATTACAATTTAATTCAGTTAAATATTATTGATAATTGGACGAATTTAAAACAAATTGATTCTGATTTGGCTTTAAAGACAAGAACATTGATGCCGTCATATCCCCCCCCCCCCCCCCCAATAAAAGCAAAAGTAGAATAAATATCAAAATTAAATTCAGTTATATGTTATTGACAATTTGATTAAAAAAAAATATACTGATTTGGCTTTAAAACCAAGAAGATTGACGACGTCATATCCTTCCAGCAATAAAGTAAAAGTAGAATAAGTAAATTTAAATCTATTTTGTAAACAATTAATATCTAAACTAGGCAGTGAGTAATCAATTACAAATTAAAGAAAACTGAGATCGTAACAAATGTAATTCTGTTTTGTAGGAGGTCTTGTTCACTACCAGTGTTATTCCACAAAATGTCCAAAAGCAGAGATTAAATGTGGACCAGATTATCATATAGCTTTAACAGAAATACGATATGGATTTAAAAATAAATCGTGTAATAGTCCGACGCAGTGTGATGCGACATGTTGTAATTATGAATCAGGGGACTGTTTAACAAGCTATGAAGACGATAAGTTGAATTTGGCATATGACCACTGTCAGCTCTATGATAAATGTCAAATAGACATCGAACGAATAACAGCTGAGGAATGTGGGAGAGGCTGGTCATCATTCACAAAGATTGAATATGAATGTATTGCTGGTAAGTGCTTTGAACACCCATGTTTTGTCCCCGCCTTTCGAGGAAAGCAGGGGACTATTAAAATGGGTTCGCCCGTCTGTCTGTCTGTCCGCCACCCGTTTTGGGACACAATAATTCTCATTCTTATTGAGCTAGAATGTTCAAACTTGGTGAGGGTGTTGATTCGGTCAATACCTTGATGACGTTCGAAGATGAGCATTTTCTACTTAGGGTAAGCAGAGATAAGCAATTTGATTGCTTGATGCTTTGGGACACGATGACTTTAGTTCTAATTAAGTGATAGTTATGAAACTTGGTGTACAGTTTCATAACATCACTACCTTGACTAATGAAACTTAGTGTATAGTTTGATTGCTCGATATTTTTGAAAAAAAATGTGCAATTATTTAATAGTTTTCATCTATTTATTTTGGGATTTCGGCGGGAAATATCATCCTCACTGTTACCTTGTTTGATTTGATATCACAATTACGGGTACTTAAATTAAGCGGATTTTGCATGGAGTGAATGTGGGTTAAACGATCTACTTTTCAGCACCAACCGTGCCAATGAAAATTGGCATATAATATGCAATATGCTGTGAATAACATTATGTTACCAGATAACAGGCGTATAATCAATGAATTGTTGCTTGTGCGTTCATTCGAATGGCTCTGATATACAAAGCTCCGATACCCAAAGCCAAAGCTCTGATACCCAAAGGGGGTGGATGGCTGAATGGTTAGTGTGTGCGATCTGTATCATACGGTGTGTCATTGAGTCAACTGGCGTGGTTTCGATTCCCCGGTTGTACGTAACAAGGAGTTGGATAGCCTCTCCAACCTCGTGGGTTTTCTCCGAAACGACCGAGTTTGTGTCGAGTGGACGTTAAACCCAATTACTCCCCTTTCTCTCTCTCTCTCTCTCTCTCTCTCTCTCTCTCTCTGTGATACCCAAAGCCCTATTTTAAAAGCCACGTTTTATACCGTATGTTTGCAATATTAAAAACTATTTCCTCATCTTCACCAATTCTGTCGAATACACTTGTTTGTGGTTGGAAGGAATGCATCGGTGGTGCATTTACGCGATCTTGAAACATTTATTTACATAGGTTACCGCCTTGATGTGATGTACATTGTACAAAATGATATTTGCAATCATCAATTTATAAAAGTGAAAAGGTTTTCTTTGCAATTCGGTATAGATTTGTAATTTTATTTCAGATTCTGATATACAGATGGACCTAGTAGAAGGTAATAAATCCAGTATACTGTACAACATGGCTCATAGTAATTTGGCAGATGTTGTTTGTAGGGTGACATCAAACAGTGACGTCAAAATAAAAATTCAACAACTTAGCCTACAAGCACCATCGAACAGTGAACGGAAACTGACCATTGTCAATTCGACAGAGACTGTGGTGGCTTACGATGAGACATATAAGTTCTACAAAGAACTTGGTAAACATGGCACTCCTATCACAGTTACTATTAGAGATTTGGATAAATCTGATATCATCTGGATTAGTTTTGAAGGTACTGTATATTATCTACCAGGTCCAGTAGGACATTGTGTAGTATGATCACACTGGATATACAAAAGAACACCAAATATATCCTAACGTCTTCAATTATCCCCTTGTGTGATCGTCCAATATTATATCCATGCCTGTAAGAGAAAACATGTATGTGCGAGAAGGGGGAGTGTCCGGACATCATATTTTGTAAAGATCGCCCGAAATTAATCACATCAGAAGCAATTGGAGCTCAAGAAAGCTCATCAAATTTCATTTACAATTGGAGCACAAGAAAGCGCATTAAATTTTATTTACAATTATGAATATGTTTTAAAGTCAATAAGTTGTATCTGTTTGTCACTGGGTGGGTGGGGGGGCGCGAATGATTAGCACGCGCGCGCTGTATCATAAGGCCTCACATTGTGTCAACTGTATGTGACAAGGAGTAGGATTGCCTGTCCAACCTCGTGGGTTTTCTCCGGATCCTCCGGTTACCTCCCACTGCTCAAGACCCCTACGCGCAAGTGAAATAATGAAATAAAAGTAGACCTAAATGACTTAGTTTGTGTCGAGTGGACGTTAACCCCCCTCTCTCTCTCTCTCTCTCTCTCTCTCTCTCTCTCTCTCTGTTTGTCTTTAGCAAACTGTGCGTCACGGTGGTTAAGTGTGTAAGACGATGGCTCGATCCCTCCATTGACTGAGAAAGTTCATCTTGATTTTCCGGCGTGGGTTCCCCTTGTCAGTGGTGCAGGACGGAGGGCCTGACGTACAAGGACAGCGGTCTAGTGGTTCGGATGGGACAAAAACCCGTGGTCCCGTGTACACATTGGCGTGCACGTAAAAGATTCCTTAGCAGTTGGAATTCGATATAAGAGTAGGCCATAGTGCCGCTGTCCGGGCGAAATTTCCCTCATAGCACAGTGTATGGCGTATGCACGTCTTCACTAACCCATTCAGAGTAGGACATTAAACCCCATCTCATTTCTTTTCAAATGATTGCAGGGCAACAGTTCCCCTTACCTAGTTTGATTCACTGAGAAATTTGTTTTACTAAAAATAGATCAATGTGAAATAAGATAATTATAGCAATCAATAAACGATGTGCACAAAATAATGAAATCGCTGATCATTGTTGTAACCAGTCCTCCATATTGCAGGTGTCGATGTATACATAAATTGTGAAAAATTGCCGAGCCGTGTCGGTGATCAGAATGGTGCTAATACCGAGAAGAGTTCTCCCGATAAGCAATCTCCCAATGAGCAACCCCCCGATGAGCAACCTCCCGGTAAGTTATTCACAACAATAACTTAAAAATGCAACCTCCCGGTAAGTTATTCACAACAATAACTTAAAAATGCATTATGTAAAATTTAGATAAAGAGTTGGCCGTTTTGTAGGTGTTCAAAATCAGGGTGGGGGGGGGGTCAAGGAATTGTTGATGGAGGGGGTCCGCCAGGAAATTTGACCGTTGGCAGTTCATGATGCCATCATCATCTCCAAATTACGTAGGCATACATACACACGGAGCTTTTTAAAGGGAGAAATCCAACATCCCGCTTGACGTCAATTAAAAGGATCACATTGTGATTCAATATTATTGATGCACAGCATTAATTGTGGTAGCACATGTGTCTATATCATTAACTCACGCTTTGAATGCCCGTCCCATCTCACAATTTGATGATAAAGGGTAAAGCAAACGACCGTGGCACTGTTCTCATAAAAATGCTTTCTTACAAAACAAAAATGTTATGTAGATGATCAGAGGGTGGGGGCCTCCCCCACCCACTATGGATCCAACCCTGCAAATCTATTTACATCTCGACCATCCAATGATTCAGAGAGTTGATTATGTGAATAAAGGGCTAAACCCTTTACATAAAATTTCATGCCAGAAAACCTGCAATAGACAGGTCCAGCTATTACATATTGCATCTTTAAGATAAATTGGACTGCAAAAACAAGTCGGTACAGTTCACGATGCATCTTGTGGCGTGGCGTGTGTGTGTGACCGAGAGAGTTTGTGGGTGTGTTAGTTCATACACAATCTCACCAAAAGTCTTAATTATTATTGGTATGTGGCTTTCGACCGTTTTGTTGCTTGCTGATCCAAATAACCTGTAAATGTAATCGAACATCTAATACCATATCTTAGTTGACATGTGTTTAATGTCATCGAACATCTAATACCCTACCTCAGCTGACATCTTGTATGTAAAAATGAATTAAGTGAGGGTTAATGACACGTCAGCTCCAGCCGGGCTCTTGTCTTGTATGCAAAAGTCATCTCATCTCAGACGACATGTTGGGTGTAGAAGTCATTTAGTATGTTATACCTTATCTCAGCCGACATGCAGCCTAGAATTGTGAGTTACGACCAGAGTTAGCGCTGGTTCTGTTTACATCTCGTAAGCATGGCGAAATCTGGAATTGGCCTGATTATTTAGATCTAACTGTTGTGTGTAACCGCCATTGAGTAATATTATACCTTATTTCATCTAAAACGGTGTGTCTAAACTGACACGCTGTATATAATCTGTGTATAAATCTCGACCGCCTTGCGTTACGTCATCTCGACTGACGTGCTGTGTGTACACGTCATTGAGTATATGTGTGTAAATGTAATCTCGGCCGTCTTGTTACGTCCTCTCGACTAACATGCTGTGTGTAAACGTCATTGAGTATATTTGTGTAACGGTAATCTCGGTCGTCTTATTACGTTTTTAAAAATCTTGTAGGTAATCTCGAACGTCTTGTTACGTTTGTAAAAATAAATCTTGTAGGTAACCTCGATCGTCTTGTTGCGTTTTAAAAATAAATCTTGTAAGTAACCTCGGTCGTCTTCTTACGTTTTAAAAATAAATCTTGTAAGTAACCTCGGTCGTCTTCTTACGTTTTAAAAATAAATCTTGTAGGTAACCTCGGTCGTCTTGTTACGTTTTAAAAATAAATCTTGTAGGTAACCTCGGTCGTCTTTTTACGATTTAAAAATAAACCGTGTAGGTAACCTCGGTCGTCTTGTTTACTTTTAAAAATAAATCTTGTCACTAATTAAATACCCCGATTAAATTTCCTGTCTATATTCTCTCTTCACAGTGTGGATTTATATCATCGTCGGTATAGTTGGTTTATTGTTGGTTGTTATCATCATAGTAGTTATCTATTTCCTGCACAAGTAAGTTTATATAATTTCTTTAAAGCGAGCCTTTTTAAATATTTCCCTAACCTCAACAAGTATTATTTTCTCTATCTATATCACATACATATGTAAGTTATGTATATATGTGACACACAAGAAAGTTTTTTTTATATCTTTTTAACCCACAAGAAAGGTTTATTTTTCAATCTATTTAACCCACAATTAAGTCGGTGTCTATCTTTTAATTGGATTTCATTTGTGAAATGAAATGGGGTTTAACGTCCTACTGTTCTGCTCATGCTGGGCTAATAAAAACGTGCATACGCCATACACTGTGCTATGAGAAACATTTTGCCCGGACATTGGCGCTACGACGTACTCTTACATTCAATGGCCAAGGGATCTTTTACGTACACATGACCTCTGTTACCGTCCCATTCAAGCGACTACACCACTGACAAGTGGAAACCACATTTATTGTTGCTCTTAGTGTTTAACGTCCGCTTCCACCGACGCTGATATCGCAGACAGATCTTATTTTTCATTTGTATTATCTTAGCGCACGCGCAGGGGTCTTTACTGTGGGAGGAAACCTGAATACACGGAGTAAACCAACGAGGTTGAGAAGGCGACCCTATCTCCAAACCACATCCGCTCACACCATTGATTGAAACCACAACCGCAAGCCAGAGGTGACCGGCCATCTAGATCACTAGGCCATCCCAACACCGGGAATAATATCATATGTAATCAACTTGACGTGATAATTTACAACTTACAAAAGGTTTACTTGTTTTCTTTTGTATTTAATAAAATCCATTGTTGTGTCTTTGACATACCTCACTGACTCCTATCATCGCTGGTCATTTCTTTTGCTACTTTTGTTTCGGAGGATTCACGAAGCATACCCCATCCCTCCCAACCAAAACAAATCCAAAAACAATTGCCTTTCGCAAACCAATTCCACAATAAATTACTAGTACATGGTCATTATCATTAAAATTATTCACATAATGTTGTTATCATCCTGTAGCCTACAACTCCAAATATTTAACACAGTCCCCAGATTAAAAACTAACCCGATTTGGAGTGTATTTGGCTAGTCGCCTTAATATAATGTGTTTCTGTTTATGGAATTATTCCAGGCGGTCAAAGAAGAAGACTTCTATAGCAGCGAGACTTGATACAACCAGTAACAATTACACCTACTCTGAAATTCCCTTAACAGGTACACCCGAGCTGAATACAGCTGATTCCAGTGTACACTACAGAGTTCCCGATCAAACTGTGGAATATAAATACACGGAGCCAGCGCCAATTACACACAGCGAATTAAACGTAGCTGCTTCTGATACCCACCCAGAACTTTCAGATGATTATGACCATCTGGGTGAATTAAGAAAGGGTGGTCAACCCATAAACACCACTCATTATCATCATTTACCCATGAACAAAGGGTATCCAGCAAGTAACGATGATTATAATCATCTGGGTGCTCTCAAGGTAGATAACTCTACCGTCGATGATACGTATAACCACCTTGGTGGTGTGAGTAAGGACAAACTTGATGATGATGATTTGTACAATCATTTAAAGAAATGAACGCCTTTAGATGCAAAATACTCAAATAAACATTAAAATGCGTTGATATCAAATATATGTTTTTACTACTTGTATTATCTATAACCGAGACCAATTGGTCATTAAGCTAGTAGAACGCTAGATCGGAGACGGTCCTGCACATATGACGTCAAATGTAGATTGGTCCAGGGTTAGTGCTAGATCTGTTTAGATATCGATACTTTGCCTAACCCTTACCCTAAACCTAACCCACAATCCGCATATGACGTCATATGTGCTAAAATTTGCAGGACCGTCTCCGATCTAGCGTTCTCCAATGAGCTATTTTGAAGTCTCAAAGAGTCACATCTCATAGATATATCTATTTTTTAAGTTTGATATTGGATTCATATTTGAACAAAAATATGTTATCAATAACTGTCATGACAATAAGTTGCTCGACGTGTCTATAATGTTAAATGTACCATAATGTAATCATACATCAACAATTTTGTAATGTTATCTTGCTGAAGAGCAGGCTTTCTCATTCTAAGAACTAAAAAAATATATTATTAAATTCGTCAATCTGATTAAAACACAGATCCTAATGCGTTTCGTTTTTATAGTTCAAAATTTCGTTTTACTTGTCTTTACTACATTAGGAAGTGTTGTTATCATTGACGTGTTCTGAATGGTGTGAGAGATTAGCCAATGACACGGTCTGTTACTGCGAGCATTAGGCGTAATCCACTAGTAACATCAATGCTGATTGGTTAATTACATGTCTGACGTCATAGGGTCAAAAGCCGTTCGTATGACCTCTGACTCGACCTTTCGCTACAACCGGTCAGATCTTCATGTAGTGTAGGTCATCGAAAGTATAAAAAAAACGAATCGAAATATAGATCTGTATTGTAATCCGATTGTAAATTAGTTAAATATAATATAATCATCAAACTTAGTGTACCACCAGTACGTTCCCGTGTACCGTGATTTTTCATATTCCTAAAGCATCCATCTTATTTATCAAATTGTGCATATGATTGATTCTAGTATTGATCTCATTACTCGATAAAGGCGGAACCTTTATTCGATAAATTTGGTTTTGAAATGAAATGGGGTTTAACGTTCTACTTTCATGCTTCGACTGGGCTAATGAAAACGGACATACGCCATACAGTGTGTTATGAGTGAAATTTTGCACCGACTGACAAGGGGAAGCCACACCAGTGATTCCCAGGCTAGCGAGCCAACGTCTGACTCACTTAGCCAGTAACTAGTATGTATGTAGTTTAATCATACTGTTAATATCAATTGTACGGAGATGGACAGTTCTTACAAGTATACACAAGATGATATTTTCCTGAATGACATGACGTAAAATCAAACAATATTATGGTTCCAATTTGCACATTTTTTTAAACAAATAAAGTAGCATAACGTATAGTTACATTGCTTGTAAAGTGTGTGTTAGTAAGGAAACGTAATAAAATGTTATTAATGTCTTCCAATATTTAGATATTACAATTGTCAAATATTTCCTGTTTAAAATTTGATTTTCAGATTCATTGAAGTTGTTATTGTTCTCTTTACGTTTTGTCATTCCAATGTATACACGGGACCTCGGATTTTCGTCTCATCCGAAGGACTAGACAGCTGTCCTTGTCAGGCCCTCCGTCCTGCATCACTGACAAGGGGAAAACACGCCGGAAAATCTGGATGAACTATCTCGGCAAATGCAGGGATCGAACACCCGACCTCCAGGCTAGCGAGCCAGCGTCTTACCCACTTAGCCACGTGATCCCATGGGTCCATATGGACCCCAGTTATAATTCAAGTTTTTACGTACAGATATATTTGAATTAAAAGGCAGTGGTTTGGTTTTTATTTGTATTCATATTTGACATCTGAAAAACAACTAAATTTTTATCCAAAAACATTTTAGTGGCATATGGAAAAGATTTAATAATTCTCACCAAATTGCTACTTAGTGTACTATGTGATAAAGAGGTTAAATGGGAATTCATGCTTGATATAAAAACCATTCAATATTTAGAATTCATCAGTTAATTTCTGGTATTTGTAACTTGCAGATGCTAAATGAGAGAATACTCAGACATGTGCAATATGGTATCAGGCAGCAAACACATTAGCAAAATCTCTACTGCGTGTTATAAGTTGGACCCCTTGTTCCCTTCAAGCGTTGGACCTGATTCGCATGTAACATAAGTCTGCATGTGGGAAGCATATGAATACCGATCTCTTTGCTACGTGTAAAATGTATAGGAGACAAAGTCACTAAATTTCAGAGAACAGTGCCTAGTAGTTATTACAAAACACTATAAAACATGTGCACGGGGTTCACGGAGACCCCACATGAACCGACAAGGGTTAACGTCCTACTTTTCTGCACCAACTGGAAAAATGAAGACGGGCATGCACCATACAGTATACTATGATGGAAATGTTGTCGGCACTACCGCTTATTCTTATTTCAAATTCCAACTGTCAAGGAATTGTTTCGTGCATTCCAGTGTGTACGCGGTACCTCGATTTTTTTTTTATCTCAACCGAATGACTAGACAGCTCTCCTTGTCAGCCCCCCTGTCCTGCACCACCGACAAGCGGGAAACTACCCCGGAACATCCTTGCCCAAAGCAGGGATTAAACACGCGCCCTTCATGCTAGCGAGCCATAACCTTACCCACTTAGCCGACGTAGCTCCATGGTTTGGAAAGGGTAAGTACCCTACCAATAAATATACTTAACATAGAACAATAGGCGTTGGCTACTTTATTTCGTTTGACGAGACGTTACAACAAGATTGTTTTAAAAATAAAACTTATAACCTTTTAGCTGTAGGAGATATACAAGATATGGTGAAATAACTACTTAAACCATCTTGAATAATCTGAAAACTGTCGTCGGACGAAAGGGGGGAGGGGGTGACGAAAACATCCCCTCACGTGAAGGTTTGATGTATAATGCATAGCTACAGAAAATTCACACAAGCCAGGATTTAACAATAAAACGGTGAATCATCAGTATCGGTTTCTATTCACGGTTTACACACAAGGAAATATTTATGACATCATATTTAACTGTGTCAGGTAGTATGCGCCAGGTATCGAACAGGTAACAACTAAAACTGGTTTAACTTTAATGCAAGTTGCATGGTTGATGTGTCTTTAAACGTGAGTATTATTTTGTTTTATCTGTGTATGAACCCCAATGATATCTGAATTATTATCTTAACAAATAGCTTTATCTTTTTAAAAAGAAATATATTGTCAAAGCTGCGTTTCCTCGATTTACATCTTTATAATACTCGCACAGTATTTATTGATATCGTTTAATCACTTTATGTATCTCGCATTGGTCATGGGGGGGGGGGGGGGGGTGGATGGCCGAATGGTTAGCACATGCGCGCTGTATCACGGGGCCTGTCATTGAGTTAACTGGCGTGGTTTCGAATCCCCGGATGTACGTGACAAGGAGTAGGATTGCCTGTCCAACCCCGTGGGTTTTCTCCGGATCCTCCGGTTTCCTCCCACTGCTAAAGGCCCCTACGCGCAAGCGAATTATTGAATTAACCTTAAACCATATGTTAGTCCCGAAATGACCTAGTCTGTGTCGAGTTGACGTTAAAAATACCTCATGATGTTTGGTGCAATAGTATGGAGGAACAAACGGCTCTTTATTCTGTGTGTGTAATTCTAAGTTCTAATTCGTAGTCCTTAATTCTTATTGTTTCTTCATTTGTTATCGAATTGCGACATTTCTATACTAAAATGTTAATTTTAGTATACGAATATCGATATACGGCAACAAATGAAGAAATAAGAATTAAGAACACTGACTAAAGAACTAAGAATTAAAAACACTGATTTAACTAAGAATTAAGAACACTCAATAGATAGCTTTTTGTTCTTCCATACAGTATTTCCCGGTTTGAGATTTTCTGCTTGTACGTAACAAGGAGTAGGATGGCGTGTCCAGCCTCGCGGGTTTCTCCGGGTCCTCCGGTTTCCCTATCAGCTAAAGACTCCTAACCTCATATTTTAGTTAGCGTAAAATGAACGTTAAACCCCATTTCCCTCCCTTTCTCTCTTATGCTTATTACCCGGAGCACGCCCACGAGGTTGATCTCCAGGCCGCACAACGCCCACGCTAGGTATCGAAACTACGACCGAAAGCTGGATCGAAACTACGACCGACGGTTTAGTTAAACATTGAAGCTCTAGACCCGTAGGACATGCCAACGCCATCATTACATGTTATACATATAGATAACACGAGGAAATTTTATGTATTGAAACGAAACTAAAATTACAATAAAACACCCATGAACAAAAGCAAAAAAAAAAAAAAAAAAAAAAATGAACAGGATATGAATATGTTACAGTATTGAATGACTTAACATCATTTTAAAGGAGCTCTTTGACGTGGCTTTTATAGAATAAAGTTGTTTAATTTGTGGCGAAAGACTGCAATTAACTGAAGCTCTGTGATTTTCGCAAACCAGGAGGTCCCTTATTCGATAAGGGTGTTGGCCGAGAAAGTTCATCTGGATTTTCCGGCATGATTCCCCTTGTCAGTGGTGCAGGACGGAGGGCCTGGGAAGGGACAGTATATATTCGTATAGTCATTCGGATTGGAGGATTCATTGACAGCTGGAATTCCCTCATAGCACACTGTATGACGTCTGCATTAGCCCAGTCGGAGAAGAGCAGTAGGAAGTTAAACCCCTTTTCTTTTTAGCCCAAGGAAGCACAATCCTTCAGTTACTATATTGGTTTGACAATCGGCCAACAATGTCACGGTAGAGTATGTGTCGAAGTAATAGTGGTGAGTTATAGTCGCAAATGTGAAGTCAAGAAAACCATTAAGGAATTCAATTTCTTAATCTAACGATGATAATAAAAATCTTCACAGTAAATAGGTCATATTGTGCTATTCATTTTCATTCTTAAATCCACGGTTGTTCATGGTGTGTCATGTGACATCACGAAGTCCTCCTTTAAATGTTTGAACACTATTACAGATGCACATGTACTATGTAAGAGCTAAATCTGCATATTGTAGGTCTTTATGTTGGCTTGGGGGCAAGGGGGGGGGGGCGGTGATGGCCGAACGGTTAGCACGTGCGCGCTGTATATAAGGCCTGTCATTGAGTCAACTGGTGTGGTTTCGAATAAACGGTTGTACGTGACAAGGAGTAGGGTCGCCTGTCCAACCTCGTGGGTTTTCTCCGGGTCCCCCGGTTTCCTCCCACTGCTAAAGACTGCTACGCGCAAGCGAATTATTGAAATAAAATCAAACCATTTGTTGGTCTCGAAATGACCTAGTTTGTGTCGAGAGGACGTTAAACCCCATGTTTCTCTCTCTCTCTCTCTCTCTCTCTCACTCTCTTTCTCTCTCTCACCCTCTCTCTCTCTCTCTCTCTCTCTCTCTCTCTCTCTCTCTCACTCTCTTCCTCTCTCTCACCCTCTCTCTCTCTCTCTCTCTCTCTCACTCTCTTCCTCTCTCTCACCCTCTCTCTCTCTCTCTCTCTCTCACTCTCTTTCTCTCTCTCACCCTCTCTCTCTCTCTCTCTCTCACTCTCTTCCTCTCTCTCACCCTCTCTCTCTCTCTCTCTCTCTCTCACTCTCTTCCTCTCTCTCACCCTCTCTCTCTCTCTCTCTCTCTCTCTCACTCTCTTCCTCTCTCTCACCCTCTCTCACTCTCTCTCTCTCACTCTCTTCCTCTCTCTCACCCTCTCTCTCTCTCTCACTCTCTTCCTCTCTCTCACCCTCTCTCTCTCTCTCTCTCTTTCTCTCTCACTCTCTTCCTCTCTCTCACCCTCTCTCTCTCTCTCTCTCACTCTCTTCCTCTCTCTCACCCTCTCTCTCTCTTTCTCTCTCACTCTCTTCCTCTCTCTCACCCTCTCTCTCTCTCTCTCTCTCACTCTCTTCCTCTCTCTCACCCTCCCTCTCTCTCTCTCTCTCTTTCTCTCTCACTCTCTTCCTCTCTCTCACCCTCTCTCTCTCTCTCTCTCTCACTCTCTTCCTCTCTCTCACCCTCTCTCTCTCTCTCTCTCTCTCTCTCTCTCTCTTTATTTTGGCTTATTTAAATGGATTAAATGGATTTACAAATTTCACGATAAAATGGATAATCAAGACTTAGCCTCGATTGTCAAATACCATTGTTATGACGATAATCAATCCACATCTTCAATCAGGTATAACTTGGCTCAGAATAAAGTAAAATGAAATGAAATGGAGTTTAACGTCCTACTGTTCTGCTCCTAACCTGGGCTAATGAAGACGGGCCAGAATAAAGTAAACGGAATGAAATTTTCAATATATTAATTTCTCATTATATTATTGCGAACTGTTACAGCCAGAACGGTCAGCTCTTTATCTAAATCTCACATACTGAATCTTGAAATTATGTCTGAAAAACTAGTAACTCACTTATATATCAAAATTGAATTCGAACCAAATTTGTGGTTTCTAGGGCATAGGGTATCCAATCGTTTGATTTTGAAAGCAGTTAGACGCATGACACAACCTAGCAACTTCCTTCATTTGTCTAGTATGCCACATAAAAACCTATTAACTCAATAGTCAAATCAATGGATAAGCTGCGATTTAATATTCATACATTAAGTTTTACTTTGTTTTCTCAAGGTAAGTTACTAGGTGTTGCCTTCTGACGGGAGGAATGTAGTTGTATAAAACTGTTGGACACGTGATAGAACATACACAAAACAACACCGACGCGATTATAAACTAGTAATGATATGACTCATCTTGAAGGAAGTTTTATTAAAGGGTATATCGCTCTATTCTCTGGATCTTAAAATAGATGAATGTAACATGAATGTATAAAAAGTGATTTACATTCAGGTTTTATATTTTTTATTGCAATTTTAATCAGTTATGATCGGTGAAATAATTTATACAATATATTTTGTCAAGTAAGATATCATAACATTAATGTATAATGATAATAAATAGTGTATAAAAAAGAGCCATTGGCTAGAAACATGCGATGACCGTATGTTAGATGTATTAATTCCCCCAAGTAGAAGTTATATGTACGTTGTAGATGTGGGTCACATGATTTTGGGAACTATTTGGTGCACGCAAGGTCTCGCCGCAGGTGGAGATGCTCGTTAAATAATTATAATAATGGTTTAAAGTTAATGTCTCATTCTCGTTAAATAATTATAATTATTATGGGGTTTAACGTTAATGTCATATGTTCGTTAAATAATTATAATATATGGAATTTAACGTCAGTGTCACATGTTCGTTAAATATTTATAATATATGGAGTTTAAAGTTAATGTCATATGTTCGTTAAAGGGTTTAACCTTAATTCCATATGTTCGTTAAATAATTATAATAATGGGTTTAACTTTAATGGCATATGTTCGTTATAAGGGTTTAACGGTAACACGTCCGGGCTTGTCTTCGATCCCATGTCACTTGACTTAAAATCCAAAGCGCACATACCCCACCCAGTGTAAATTATTACAGGATTTTGTATGCAGTTAAGTAATATCCGTGTCTGGTGAATGTCTGTATTGTGAGTAATAGTGTTGGGATTTGTCTCCCTTTTGGAACTTCAAAGATGATAAAGATCCATATATATATCATGTAACTTATAATTAATTTGACTTTATAATTATTTCAGTAAAATGGGGATGTTGTTGATGATTGTAACAGTAATTACTGTATTTATAATTACATCAGGTAATATGGATTTATTTCTAAGATAATCTCGTGATTCAAGAATATTGCATGTTTCTAGATAATAAGGGTATAAGTAGTATTAAAACAGCCCTGTTTGTAAATATTGAAGGGTAAATCCAGGATATCACACTGGCAATCCCGTGTCTGGAATTCTACTAAACGTGTAAAATAAACTCTGCTCGTGGACCTTGATCATGCAAAAGGGTCTCCAATTGCAACCGACGTTTGTTTTACCGATTTGAGACATAAAACTGTGGACAGTTCATTTCTTGGGGTAACGTTGGACTTTAATTTAAGCTGTATCCGTTTATATGCGTTGGCATAAGACCGTCTTTCTTAGTTTTCAAATTATTTTGTCGGTCAGAGGTGTTGAGGGCTTTTGTGAGACTTGTGGGGCTCTTCAGTTAATGAATTAATTGCATAATTATTAATTCCATCACTGACAACGTAAAATCGATCTACAGAACATACACATTTAAATAAAATAAAACCAAGTAAGAACAATCCAAACCATGACAAAATTCGAAGTCCTAAAAAAACGGTATAGGCAAAATAGTGTAATAAGGCAAAATAGTGTAATCAGCATATGGAAGAAGTTATGCACCGTGTAATCGAACTACAGATAAGAGTATCCGAATTGTTTTCCAGACTCACAGTTTAGCTATTTGAAGAATTATCTTGAAATATATTTTATTTTCAAACTTGATCACAATCTCTTGTAAAATACAATTATGACAATATAAAACAGGGTCCCGGCTTAGATTTTGGTGTATGTTTACTTTTGTTTTGTTCCAACAGATGCTTTCAAAGTATTGGAGGAGTGTCATAATATTGGTACTAATATTACATGCCCAAATGGTTACAGAGTCAACATAACTAATGGTTTTTATGGATTGAAGTCGACAAACTGTCAAGTCTTGGAACCCAAATGTTGTAGCTTTCAGGAAAAAAGTAATGATAGACTAGCTGAATATTCAAACTCTGATTTCAAGACGATCTACAACCAATGTATGTACCATCAATCATGTTTTGTAAACCTTACGTCAACAGACAACAGGAACAATACCTGTTGTAAAAATTATTCACGATTTGGAAGAATTGAATACGAATGTGAGCCGGTTAATATTCTAGGTAATTATAATTTGCAGATAGAAGATGAAAAAAAACCCCTCAAAATGTCATCCTCAAATTGTTAGCAAGACTTTATTATGGACCTTTGTTGTCGCCATTGATTTAATTCTAAGGTACTACAACAGTAACTGCTGTGAAGAGTCAACAAATACCTGAAAGAGTGAACATACCTTACCCACTGACGGTATCGTATATCACGAGTCCATTGTCCTGAACATTCCCTCATAACATGGTCCCCATGAATTGTCTGGTCAATCATAGCTACTCGATGACACTAATTCGGACAGCCCCCATTCTTTTTTTAAAACGGCATTCCTGCTTGTAATAAAAAATGTACATAGTATTATAAATGTAATTACAATTACACCTGGAATTATCAATCTAAATGTTATTCCAGATCTGTCCAACCAAACGAACCAGATGAGAACAGGTGTTCCTAATGTTAGTTTGGTGTATGATGATGAAAGCTCGTCTTCAACTACGTATTCACGGGATCGAACCTGTTTGATACAATCAGAAGGTGAAATCCGGGTCAGTGTTGTCGATATACTATTGAAGTCACTTCAACCAAGGCACAGTTTAAACTTCTCCAAAACTAGCACACCTTCCTATTCAATATGTAACAAAAGACTATCGATTATTGACGGCGAAAAGCAACCAAGGTTGTGCATGGGTAATGGGAATAAGACTGAAACATATCTTGGTAAATATCAAGGTCCAGTAGCCGTTCTATTTAGAGATAATCAACCTGGCGATAAAATGATAATAGATTTGTCAGGTGAGTTAAAATATTTATTGCATTATCCTTAAAGAAGTGCTTTAGAAAACAGGCGTCTTATAACTGCTTTAATTGGTACAAATACCACGACAATTTACAGTCATACACAATCAAAACTTATGTCTAAGTCCCTAGGGAAAAATCATCGGCGATGTGCACATAAACGAAACGTGGAGAAGAAATTTGGGCAAAATGAATTCGCAGTTATCCCTAGAAAACATATATAATTAATAACATACACAATCAAATTTAAAAGCAATCAACCAAATACAAAAAAGAACAAAAAGCCTTGTCAAAGTAAATAAAATCCACAAATGTTGACATATTTTGTTTTCATTTCAGCCGAAGGGAAACTGAATATAACGTGTAATGTGGTAATTTTCTCTGGTGGAAACCCCGCGGTTGATATGATAGATACATCAGGTAAAATACAAGAATTGAAATTATATTCTTTATTATTGTAATTAAAGGTTATTGGACTGATACAAATATATCCCAGATCCATAAACGAGGTAATTCTGACCCCCCTGAACAAATTTCAAAAAAAATGAAATGGGGTTCAACGTCCTAGTATTCTGCTCCGATCTGGGCTAATGAAGACGGACATACGCCAGCGACACTACGGCCTACTCTTATATCGAATTCCAACTGTCAAGGGAACATTTACGTGCACGCCAATGTGTACACGGGACCTCGGTTTTTGTCCCATCCGAACGACTAGACAGGTGTCCATGTCAGGTCTTCCGTCCTGCATCACTGACAAGAAGGGAACCACGCCGACAATTCTGGATGAACTTTCTCAGCCAATGCAGGGATCAAACACACGACCGCCTGGCTAGTGAGCCAGCATCCTACCCACTGTGACCCCAAATTTAAAAAAAAAGAAAAGATATTCCATGTGAAAATCATAATTAACAGACCCCATACAAGTTAATTGCTAGTGCCGACATTCCGTTATCATACAATATTTCATGTAAATAAACTATAAACATACTTATGGAAAACAGCTACTGATTTATTTAGGCGACGTTTCGAAGAGTATTCTCTCGACGTTTTAAAGTGTAAGAGGATACTGCCACGTCGCCTAAATAAATCAGTAGCTGTTTTCCATAAGTTTGTTTATAGTGTATTTATCTGCCCAGTTACTAAATGCCACTTAAAGAATATTATCGTCATCAGTATGGAGATGTGGCAGTATCCTCTTACACTTTAAAACGTTGAGAGAATACTCTTCGAAACGTCGCCTAAATAAATCAGTAGCTGTTTTCCATAAATATGTCTGTAGTTTATTTATCTGCCCAGTTACTAAATGACACTTAAAGAATAATATTTCATGTGAAATACAAAATTGATCTTTGTTTACATGGTTCGAATATAGATATATTATAACTATTTCAGTGTTGTATATAATCATTGTGTCTGTGATCGTGCTAGTCCTTCTGGTCATGGTGGGTATAGTCCTTGTTTGCTGTTGGTTCAGAAGGTATGTTTATCTCAATTTGATTTAAATGTTGGAGGACCACATCCCACACAAACAAAACCGATAAGATTACCCCACGGACAGGACAAAAACCACATTGGCATTGCAAGAATTATACACACAATATCAAATAAAGCGATTGGATCCGAGACCAGCCATAGGCTTCAATTCATATATAATGTACGGTCTTTCTTAAACAAATGAAATAACATTTCACATACGACGATCTTGAAGGTAATCTGACGGACTCCCTTTAGCGCCAGTCTCTAACTGTGGACCTATAATGTGTCGAGTCACCGTACGCCACTCAAAGCATGTCTAGTTTGGGCGAAAGCACGAGAGCAATGTATGCCACTTAATAAGGTAATTTATCGTCTGATTGGTCAAGTCTAATGGGGCGTTATCCCGTTTTCATGTTTTGCTCCGAACTGGGCTAATGAAGACGGGCATACACCATACAGTGTGCTATGAGGGAAATTTTGCCCGGACAGCGGCACTACGGCCCACCCCCACATCGAACTCCAACTGTCAATGGATCTTTTACGTGCACGCCAATGTGTACACGGGACCTCGGTTTTTCGTCTCATCCGAATGACTAGACAGCTGTCCTTGTCTGGAATACAGAACAGAATTGACATATCATTTTACTGCAATAGCCATACATGCATAATATATATTAGTCAGCCATTTAAAGGTATTGGAAGGTATCACGTATTAAGTAAGCGAACCAGCCTATTGAATAATACCCGTCATTAAATGGAGTAGTATAATACATTTGTAATCTGTGTATTCTGTATATCGGTATGTTATGCAATTGATCGCTATTTACATACATTCTATTAACTTTCAGACGTAAACAAAGACGGAAGAAATGTTCTGAACAAGTAACCGCAACCAATTCCACTAATGCATATGAGTATATAGATACAGAATTGCCTGATGGTGTTCGAAAGGGTTATCTTTTATTGCCCAAAAAGGACAAATCTTTAACGCTACGTTTCGTTAAAACAGTCGCAATGGATAACTGTCCTGCAGGTTCCGAAGGTTCGTATTGTCACATCGTCAAACACCATGAACCTTTTCACGATCAATCGCCGATTCTTTCGGGTTATAAACATATTTGCCAAATTCAAACTCAACAATCCGATCACGACAGCAAACTGGACAAGGATGTTTATTGTGACCAACAAGCAGAGCCGCTAGAAGAAGATACACCAGGTAGCTTCGATATCAAGAAAGACATATCCACAACGCTTCAATTAAGACCGGGTGAAAATAGTGAACTACTGAGGGAAATTGCAAATGAATTTGGGAATGAATTATCTGCAATAAGCGATGGGTTGTCAGAACCCAAACCGTCAGATGTAGATAACGATTTTGATCACTACGAACAACTTGGCCAAACCAAGTTCGTCAACCGCCCAGCTATATCTACTGATGAAAAAGACACATATAATCGTTTGGACATCCATAACCTAAACAAAAGTAAAAGTAGACAATTATGCGATAATTATGATCATTTGGGTGCGTTTAAGGAGGACATTAGTGATCAAAATGTGCATTATAACCGTCTTCAATTTTAGCATAAGGGTTGTCACATTATTCAGAGCTGGAGGCTTGTTACTAATTTAGGGTAAATGCTGGTTAATAATTTGGGGTAAAGATGGTCACATTATTCAGAGCTGACAGATTGTTACTAATATTTTTCGAGAATTATAAAATACTTGTTAGTTTTAATAAATCAAATGGTAGGTTAGCACCAGATTATCTTTTAAATGGAACTTTGGTTGTGATTTTGTAACGGAACTGCAACAGCAGATCAAGAATCAAAAGACTTTTAATCAATGTAAATCCGCACTAAAGACGTTCCTGTTCCGATAGTTTTACCCGTAGGGCCATTACTTAAAGCGTTTTGAGCATGTGTCAACATGGAGAAGACGCTATATAAAGCCTCATTAGTATTATTATTATTAATATGACAAAGAAGTCAAAAAAGCAACAGTGCCGCCATATGTCAAAACCTGCTGTGCATTATTATATATTCCTCTGAAAAAAGAAGCTTTCGCTTAAATGACACACTGGCTGGAATGAGTCTTTTTTAACATTTGCGTTCTGTCACACCCCATTTGTCTTGTACGCTTTCTATGTAGCAAATGTCACAGATCGGTTGCAAATAAACTGTACATAACATATATCTCATAGTAGTTTCAACAAAACATCCTTTACCCAACAGTTTCTGTATAACATCTTAAGCATATCAGAGATTTTAGTAAGCAATTAATGACCGAATACCGAGTGTTGTTCTCCAGATTGCATAAAACCTATCATTATCGGCAATAGGGTATTAATTTACATTTTACATATAATCACAGGTAAATTCATTTTATCAGAGCAATTAATAGAGGATGCGAGCACCTTCCATGGGAGTTAAAGTCACATTTTCGCGGAAGTTAATCTATCATAAGAATATTATATACTTTATATGTACTGATCATTTATGGAAGCCTATTGCGGCTGTGTGTTAACATCTCAACATTCGGGGGGGGGGGGGGGCGAATGGTAAGCACGTGCGCGCTGTATCATAAGGTCTGTCATTGAGTCAACTGGCGGGGTTTCGAATCCCCGGTTGTACGTGACAAGGAGTAGGGTCGCCTGTCCAACATCGTGGGTTTACTCCGGGTCCTCCGGTTTCCTCCCACTGCTAAAGACCCCTACGCGCAAGCGAATTATGGAAATAAAATTGAACCATATGTTAGTCCCGAAATGACCTAGTTTGTGTCGACTGAACGTTAAACCCCATTTCTCTCTCTCGCTCACTGAGCCATTATAATATAATTACTGTATGTTACCTTCTTAACTAAAGCCCTGCATCGGCCGAGAAAGTTCATCCAGATTTTACGGCGGTCACCCTTGCAAGTGATTTAGGACGGAGGGCCCGACAAGGATAGCTGTCTAGACATACGGATGGGACAAAAAAACGAGGTCCCATGTATACATTGGCGTGCATGTAAAATATCGCTTGACAGTTGGAATTGGATACAAGAGTACGCCGTAGTGCCGCTGTCCGGGCAAAATTTCCCTCATATCACACTGTATGGCGTATGAGCGTCTTCATTAGCAAATTCGGAGCAGAACAGTAGGATGTTAAACCCCATTTCATTTCATTACTTAAATACTGTACACCCAATCTGATTAAAACAAAACATTATATTTCGTTTCGTTTTTTTTATAGTTTTAAGTTTTTGTTTTACTTGCCTTTACTACAATTAGATCTGAAAGTGTTGTTATATAACCTGGGTGCTGGCTGTTGTGAGGGAATAGCCAATAAAACCGTGTGTTGCGGCGACTTCTTGGCGTGTGGTGCACGAAACTGTAGTTATCCCACTAGAAACATCGACGCTGAATGGTTCATCAAATGTCTGACGTCATAGGCGCAAAAGCCGCAGGTATGACCCTTGATGCGACCTTCCAATACAACCGGTCATATCTCCATTTAGTGGAGGTCATCAAAAGTATAAAGTATAAAAAACGAAACGAAATACAGATCTGTATTATAATCAGATTGCTATACACCAAACGTAGCAGTAAAATTTCACTTTTAAATCATTAAATAAAAATCTTCTCCAAATTAACTGTTAAATACAGTTATAGGTCATTCCATTTCTCTGGATGTTCTTGTGTCGGAGTATTATGATGATCTTACTACCACAAAGAGCCTAACGCGAAACAATCATATAAAATATTACGGGGGGGGGGGTATCTCGATTGCTTTCTACACCCGGTCAAATATAGATTTGTTACAGTTGTTTTCATCATTTCTGGTTTATATCTGACAATGTCAAATGTCATAATAAATTACCCTTAGTGACAACTGTTCGCCGTGATAAACCCGAGGCAGATGGGGGTGTAAAGTAGACATATTTTCACATATACCTTTAACTACCACTTTGAACACAATCTGTAATCGAAAATGTTTATACCTTTATATAACGCATTCTATATTTTACTATACATTGGTTAACATTTTTAAACATTATTAAACACAGTAGTCCGAATTACTTCAAGTTTGGATTTCTGGAAGAGGATAATCTTCGTAGGTAGTAATATTGGAGTAATCTCCCATTTTATTGCTCGGTTGAATATTTAACCCGTATTAACTAATCTTCTGTGTCGGTTCATATGGCATATTTAAATTGTCGCTACGCGCGCTCTTAGCTAGTTCGTATTTAACATCTGTGTCGTGATTAACGTAATCAATATGGTTGTAGACGTCTTCATTTATCAGTTCGCTCTTTACAGCACCACGATCGGTGTAGTTGCCACGAGTCATCTGATTGTGTGTATCATCACAATGGTCATTAACTGATCCATGGTTTACATATGCTACATCTTTTCTGTCGGCTTGTGGAATCTCGTTGCTCCTGATGTCACCAATCTGGTCATAATCATCTGCAGCGTTTTCACCAAACACGTCATGAAGGTGACTGTAATCAACCCCGCGTGTAATGCGCTCGACAGATGTCCGGTTTTTAAAATCATTTAGATGATGGTAATTGTCATCTTTACTAACATCACCAAGATGATTGTAGTCAGCACCTTCCATCCCGCCAGATGTCCTATTTTTAAAATCATTCAGATGATGGTAATTGTCACCCTTGCTAACCTCACCAAGATGATTGTAGTCAGAATCTGACACTTCGTGTGTGAAGTCAGATGTCAGATGATGGTAATTATCATTACGAAGATGATTATATTCACCATCGGATCGGTCATCTATACGAATATTGTTCGTATTTACACCGTGTAAATGGCTATAAGTATCATCATGTTTCCTGTTGTCATGTAAATGGTAACAGTCATTAGATAATACATAGCTCGGAGTTTTATCGTTCCTCAATTCAGGATTACTGGTGCAGCCATCAGTAGGTGTTTCGGATACTGGATTTGTAACCTTTGAACTCTCTTTGAAGCGACTATCAATAAAAGTACTAATCGTGTGTCTGAAATATATATATATATATATATATATATATATATATATATATATATAAAATAATAATTAAGGTAAAGTTGAATGGTTGAGTACTATTTCCGTGTGGCATGTTAATGTAGAATTTGTTTAACTACAGAATACAACTAATTAATTTTAACCGACAATTGCAAGGGTTTATTTTTGGAAGCAACCCAAGTTACATGCAAATTATAAAATTACTATACATTACCGTTTATAAATGATGACAAGAACCACGACAACCAAAAGTAAACTTCCCATGACGCTGCCAACAATAACAGAGGCATCTACAAAATATCAATATAAACACATAAGTATAAATATCTAACAACATACAGAGTTGTCTATATCAACATCAATATAATCAGTATTGCAGTAAGGATCCCAAGACGCTAACGGGACGAACTTGGGTACTGGCATCTACAGCAATAACAAGATAATCAGTGCTGTAGTAACCATCTCATGGCGCTGCTAAGAAGGGCTGGGGTATTGGTATCTACAATCAATATCAAGATAACCAGCCTTGCAGTAACCACCCCATGGCGTTGCCCGGAAGAACTGGGTACTCTTATCTACAATCAGTACAAAGAAAGCCAGTCTTGCAGTAAACATCCCATGACGCTACGAAAAATATACGGGAACTGGACAAATTGTCTTTGAAAGAGGATTCAGACAGCCGTGTATCGTTTGGCCAGTCGTAATTCAAATATATTTACATGATATCTGTTCAATACTGGGCCTTGAATTTATTTATAAATACAGAAATGGGACAGTAATATTAACAAATTTAAACAACACTGTCATTTCTAGTTTCCACACAACTGTGAAAATATTAAATATTCAAAATAATTAATCACCTGTATTATGTTTATAATTATAATTTATGATATTCGTTTCATCAATATCGGTAGTTTCTGGTTTTCTGTGCATACCCCTTTCAATAAACCATTCGGTGGATTGACGAACTCTAATACTGGCTGTATCTGTCGAGTTATTTTTTGCTGGAGTTGATCTTATGATTTTGCCTGGTTCAGACACCTCTGTTGTACTTTGTCGATTTAGAGTAGTTCTTGTTTGCGATTCAGTTGGTAATGCTGAAATGATTTGATTTATAATATTACCGCTTGCCAAAGTCATTGCAAGATAATTAAAAACAGACCAACCTGGAACTAGTCTCTATCATTCCGACACATGGTATACGAATACTAGTATGAACACATAGCCAACATTTGAGGATATTTATGTTATTGAAGAGATTTCCAGGTACTTTAAGTTTATATGCACTTTTGACATTACAGAAAATCTTTCTGCATTTCCTATTCAACACCCAATACACCTAAGGTTTTTGTCTCCAGTTAAGGGTCATGCCTATGATTTCTTTTAACTGACTTTAGCCATTAAAAGCGTTCCATCGCTTTGCACAAGCACCCGAGAGTTTGGTTATATGTATGTAATTGATTATTCAGTTACAATAAGTCGAATGTGGACGCCAATTATCTGTAATCGAAAATGTCTAATTCTCTATATTACCTGGTTCTGAATATACACACAAAGCTATATATAGGTTTATACTAACTCCTTGGTCATTGCTTGGCTAACTATATCCATCAATCCAGGGACGGAACATGCTCTATGGTGCAAGCAAGGAACTCTTAGCAATTTAAAATTATATTGCTGCACAAACACAAGTTCCCCCATAGCACAATGTGTGGCGTGTATGCCTAATCTTCTTGATTCCCGTTGGGAGAAAAACAGTGGGAAGCTAAATCCCTTTCTTTCATTTATTTATCCATATTAATCAATTTTAAAAAACGAACCTACCTGTCCTACAGTCATACTTTACAATTGAGTACTGATAAGGAATATGAAATCCATTGTTCTTACAAACTGGGATAGAGTTATCTGATGAACGGAAATTACAAGCCTGTTTTCCTTCACAATCGTTAAGCTTTATTTCGTTCGTATCGGTAAAACTAATATTACAGTGTGGGTTTAAACAGTTGCTCCTTCTGTATCTGAAATATGTGAATCCATAGCAAGACGATATAATACTAATCAGTTCTCCCTTATCACATCTTAACATGTGCCAAGAGCAATACGTATTAGTTGTCCCACTGCAAGCATAACTGTGCAATCCTACAAAAGAAAACATTTAGGAAGCTGTTGTTATTGGTGAAAATAATTGTATACATTATTGATCGACTCAAGCTACAGTATCATGGGATGTAACATCTACACCTCTCCATCGTTTAGGTCGTAATGTACCGTGTTTACCAGACAAGGCCAAATAACTGACTTAACCAACCAAAATGACGTATTGGGGCCATTAAACTTTTAACTGTCATCCTACATACATATGCTACTAGCTAAGCTAATAATATATATATACCCAATGTCAGCAGAACTTGTGTTAGAGAGTACAATATTTGGTTCATTATGTTCAAATCGGATCTTTTTTATTAATAGTGATATCTGCACTATTTTTAATCACATAAAGAACGACTGCTTTAGTTGACATGCAAATTGACGACGCTGATAACTTCGTCTTTATCAAGCATATGTTTTCATTTACTAGATAAAGACAAGAGTATCAGTGTCTTACTGTTCATTACTAAATGCCACTCAATGAAGTTATTTTTAATCAATCATTTGTATGATTTATTTTAATCAGGATTTAATTGTATTAAAGCTGTCGTTTGTGTTAGAGCAGCTGCCATCTTGGATCTTAGGTGTCATTTTGAATCAATTATAAGTGCACATGGATCAAAATTAACAAAATTACAACCTTTCATATTTCTACAAGAAAAATGATAACTAATTATCTTGCGAAAATATTTTCATTGTTATTGGTATTTTCTTTTTACCGTATTTCCGACATTATTAAAAAAACTATCAACTCAAGTCCATTTTGTGCAGCACATTTGTCTTATATTAACAACACCTTATTTTTTTTATCTGATACATGAATATTAAATACAGATTAAAATGTTAACAAACCGGAAGTCACAGGTAGTAGACAAAGAGTCACAGCGACCATGCCGTTCATCATATTCATGCTTCTAAAAAAAGAAGGTATACATGTATAATAATCTATATATACACGGGATACATTGACAATGTTATTTGTGTTCGTTCGAAGTTCCTCTAGCCAAGCAAATGATACGATTTCAAACGATAATGAGATTATTTATAAATATTTCACAGTTAATAATTCATAGTGACATTGATAACAAAATGTATTACTTTAGATGTTAATAGGAAATATGCATTTTCTTTATATTGACAAAGAGAGAGGGAGAGGGAGAGAAAGAGAGAGGGAGAGAGAAAGGGAGAGAGAGAGGGAGAGAGAGAGAGAGACGTCCTCTGGACACAAACTAGGTCATTTCGAGAGAGAAAGAGAGAGTTTAACGTCCACTCAACACAAACTAGGTCATTTCGGGACTAACACATGGTTCAATATTCTTTAGCAGTGGGAGGAAACCCACGAGGTTGTACAGGCAACCCTATTCCTTGTAACGTACAACCGGGGATTCAAAACCACGCCAGTTGACTCAATGATAGGCCTTATGATACCTCACGCGCGTGCTAACCATTCGCCCCCCCCCAAAGACATAGAATTCGCCAGTCAAAACAAACGGCTGGCATTATATAAGTTTACCTTTTCTGGACAGACTAGGTGATTTCTGGACTAACAATTTAAGGTACATTTTGTTATTTTCAATAATTCGCTTGCACTTAGAGGACCTAAACTGGGGGGCTTGGAAAACGAATGTGGTATCAGAGACGAGCTTACTCCTTGTTATGTACCAGCTTAGAATAGAATCCACTCGACGTGACTTAATGACAGACCTTATGTTTTAAAGCGTACGAATTCGACCTCTTGGTTACAATACCCCTCCGGCCCCACCCCCACCCCGACCCCGACCACCCTAATAAAAATAAGCTAAATTTCTTACCGTCTAATATTGTAATACCCTTAACTGCATAATATGCATTCACAATGTTCATTACACGCATAAATATCAACCTTATCTAACTTTCTTGTCCCATCTTTACGTAGTTTATCAATCGGGAACAAGTACAGGTATCGTACTGCATATTGGTGTAGTTATTATAGTGTAGGCGGTATATTATGTTATCGGGATGGCGTGACGCGGATAACGTTCAGGCAATACAAACAAAGCTTTTCAAGAAACATGGCAATATACCTTGGGCATGGCCAGCCATAGCCTGTTATATTTCTAGTATCTATATACATAAGACTGCATTTTTCGGATAAATCTGAAGAGTGTCATATATCACGCACTGTCTTCATCTTATAAGAAAACTGATTTTTGCTGAATAGTCAAATCCATTAAAAAATTATGTTATTGGTTTCTTAAAGGACACTAGTGGTGTCAGTCATTATCACATACCTGATAGACCTGGTTAAACACGTTCCAAATAAAATTTTAACACAGAGATCATTGATGCGTAACGAAGAGCTGAAGAAATGGAAGTGACGCATACAATAGAAAACATGAGTTATCCTTCTATATAACTAACTGAAGTAACGAGCGATAACAGCTACACGGGCGAATTTCTGCCCACTGATAATTCCTTCGAATGATATCTGACAATTTATAAAACAATAATACACTGTTACTCTAGATGAGAAAACGAAAAAAAGGGGGGGGGGGTGGATGGTGGAATAGTTAGCAAGTGTCAAGTGGACGTTGAACCCCATCTCCCTTTCTCTCTCTAGTTCTCTCTCTCTCTCTCACGAAAAAAAATATAACAAAATAGAAAAAAGTCTGTGCATTTACCATGTTTTTGTTAAGTTTTGAATGAATAAAACAAGCGAATGTATGGGCTATTTCTATTTGTGTCGGTTTCTCGTATCTAGTGACGTGACATTCAGTTACTTTGATTTTAAGTGTGAGATATCACAGTCTAATATAACAACTTTCCGTCTTTTATCTAACCCTGTGAATGGTTGGGTAAACCAATGAAACCAATGACTGGAGAGAGAGAGAGAGAGAGAGAGAGATGTCGCCACAACTCTTATTAAATCCAGTTTAGAACCCCGATGTATTTTATCAAAACGATATAGCAAAACAGTTTATTGGATCTTTCACATCCTGATGTATAAAAAACATTCAACACATTGTATCAGTTCACATGTTAATCCCTAGTATTAAAATTGAAATTAGAGTAGATGCTGTTATATTATTTGAACATATGAATTCATATTCATAATAAAACAATACTTGACATTTGAAACAAAAAAAAATTAATAAAGGCTTGTGTTTCTGTTCAAAAAGCTAATTATAATGTATGTGTTATTGATGTTTTGTTAACAGATAAAGAGTGGATATGTCCACTCACTGATTCCCTTATATTATTAAGAACAGATTGTCAATTAAAGGGTTACATTAAATTGACAATCAAATAAGATTTATCTGCTCCAACTCATCTACTCCGGATTAGCTCTCACGATATGTTTTGTAGCTGTTGGTGCAGTTTGGAAATCCGAGTACAGTAAAACGATCGGAGGACCCCCATTTATTTTTATCAAGAATCCCGATCACATAAGGGTCCCTCGTCAAGGGACTAACCGTCGTTGTTATACAACTAGCGTTAAGCACGAATCTGGTAGGATATATATTTTAGATTATGTTGCTTTAAACCACGCCCAGTTTACCATGCATACATCATTGCATTTATTGATCACAGCGTCGTATGATTCATGTAGAATATCTTTTTTAAAACTGGTAAAACAATTCGAGGCATCAACCAAAGCTCCAAGGGCGTTGACTGGTAAACTGGCATAACTAGATATCTGGTAAAAAATAGACAGTGTATCAGAGTGTCAACAAAAGTTCCGACAACGCTTTGTGATTAATCGAGAATATTTGGATATATGTTTTTAACACCAGTAAAAGTCTATCAGCTATCAGGGTATCAGCCATAGTTCTAGCAAGAAAATGTATTGTCACACAAAGAAAGACTTGCTGATATTGCAAATATTTTTACTAGTGATCCCATCTGTTGCCGGTTGTGAGTATACAGTTTTCATATATTTTGAAAGTATCAGTGTATTAGATACAAACAATGCATGATCGTTATTCTGGACATTAACCTCTTGGGAAGGCATCCGAGGACAATCGTGATATTCACCCTCTTGCATATTGCAATAGTCCACGCAGGATAAAGAATACACAATGCAACAGATTATTACTGCTACATGTAGACTCAACAAATAAATTTATTGTGAAATTGTCAACGTTAGATATGTACACTTGGTGTATTAAATCAGAATGAGTTAGATCCACTAAACGTTCATCAAACGTTGCCAAACCTTTTCACAGTTCTTATTGTTGAATATATTCAAAGGTCAAAATGGTGCTTTTTTGTTCTAATATACAAGCCCATGTTTTTAATACGACAAATATGGCACTAAACCATTTAGAAGACAGGGTGCATGGCTATTAATCGCCCTTCGTGTGTAGGCCTATGACTGATAAATGACATCCCACTCCTCACTCGTTACACGAAATAAAGTTTTTTAGTGGTCTAGTACAAACATTTTGAGATATATGTTAGCGTTTTTGGCAATTGCATGTCGAAATATGTTTTCATATTCGAAAGGATTAAAGATAAATTATTAATATATCCATAGAGCAAAAACCCTGAAAAATTTAGTAAATAATTAATATCTCCATAGAACATAACCCCGAAAAATTTCAACATAAGATATGTAAATTATTGATATATCCATAAAACATAACCCCGAAAGATTTAGTAAATTATTAATTTCTCCATAGAGCAGAGCCCCGAAAGATTTAGTAAATTATATATCTCCATAGAGCATAACCCCGGAATATTCACCCGATTAGATTTTATTACATACTTCGAGAAGGTATTTGTTGAGTAATAAAACCTTCTAGTAGTTTATCGAGGGCTGGCCGTCCTTACCGCACGGTACAAATAAAACCTTCTAGTAGTTTATCGGGGTTCGGGTGTTTCCTGAGTCCAAAATGCCCGCTTTATATACTATTCAAAAAAAGTAGGGGATATTTGATTTTGGGGGCATAATACTAAAATATGCAAATGACTACGAAAAAAGTCACTATAGAACCTAACAGAAGAAACATTTCCAGTTACATGTAACGCACCAATAGCTACCGCATGGAATGCAGGTGATGCTTGGGATCATCATGGGGGTCCAACCCAAGATTTGCACGACTCTGACTTTGAATGTTACAGTCATTGTGGCATTGAATTCCAGGGTGGAAACATCAGTTTAATTGTTTTAGTGACCAGAAAACAAATTTTGATATGCGTCGGCTTACCCAAAATGAAAGGTTACGTGCCCTTGGCATGCTACAGATCGGCACAACACAGGCGGTTGTGGCGCGGACGATGAATGTTTCTCAGTCTGTTATAAGCAGGATATGGTCCAGATACCGTGATACACAATCTGTACAGGACAGACCACGCCCAGGTCGACAACTCAAGCCCAGGATCGATTTATCCGTACCTTGGCCTTGAGAAATCGTGTCATCACAGCAAATCAGATCAGCGCTCGTCGTCAAACAGACACTGGTGTGAGAGTGAGTGGCCAGACGATTCGGAATCGACTGCATAGGGGTCACCTTCGCGCCCGACGTCCTCGCGTGATCCCTTGTTTGAGAGATCATCACATTCAGGCAAGACGTCGTTGGTGTAGGGATCGTCAACACTGGGATAATCGACGGTGGAGCAATGTGATGTTTTCAGATGAGTCAAGGTTCACTGTTGATTTTTTAGACAGACGTAGGAGGGTGTGGCGTCGTCGAAACGAGCGCTTCCAAGACGTTAACGTCATCAGACATGATCGATTTGGGGGTGGTTCTGTTATGGTGTGGGGAGGCATCACTGTTGCTGGAAGAACGGCTTTACATGTTGTTGCAGGGCGTGTTACAGGCCAGTACTACCGGGACAACATCTTGGCAGTCCATATTATGCCGTTTGCACGACGTCATGGCCGCCGTTTCATCTTCCAGGATGACGACGCAAGATGTCACAGGGCCAGGATCTTTATAGGTTACCTCCAACAACAGAACATCACCACATTACCTTGGCCAGCACTGAGTCCCGACCTCTCCCCCACCGAGCATGTCTGGGACATGCTTGGACAGAGGTTACGTCAACGTCAACAACGTCCTGCCAATGTCCAAGAACTTGCTGCTGCGTTGCAACAGGAATGGGACAATCTGGACCAAAATGACCTTAGACGTCTCATTAGGAGTATGCCACGTCGGATCAATGCTTGTTTGGCAAACAGAGGAGGATTTACCCGTTACTGACTTGGTTGTGATGTTGTGGTAACTTTGCTGTTTGACCCCGGGTATCATTTTACCCTTATAATGGTCAGTCTGTGCCTTACTTAGTCTAACGATCATTTGGAATAAATCGATGAATGTGAACTTCATTTCATTTTGTCATTTGTTTCTTCGTCAGTTTCATTAGGTGACTTTAATAACACTTAAAAATCAAATATCCCCTACTTTTTTTGAATAGTATATAAATTTGAATTTTGGGGATAACTAACCCGAACCCTAACCCTAACTAAAAGACTGAACTTGGGTCTAATTTAGTTTTTACTTCTCTTAAAAGGGTCAGGGTTCGGGTTAGTATTCCCCTAAATACTCATTTGTATAAAGCGGCCATTTTGGTATGAGTTCTGGCTTGTTCTGGAATTTGTTGCTTCTAGTGGTCATAATATTTGTACCGTGCGGTAAGGACGGCCAGCCCTCGATAAACTACTAGAAGGTTTTATTACTCAACAAATACCTTCTCGAAGTATGTAATAAAATCTAATCAGGTGGAATATTTAAACATAAGATAGAGCATAGAGCATAACCCCGGAAGAGGGAATAAGTCCACTTTGGTTCTTCCTAGGATCTAGAATAACAACATCGTCACCATAACGGATATATAACTCTTTATGGTTTCAACGAAATTTGAATACTGCTCAGGATAAGGTGTTCAAAGGCTGGCGCCTGCCCATATTGGGGCTGTGTAGATATATCTTTCAGTGGGGAATGTATGTCATGTTAAAAATAAATATTGTTAGAGCGGAATTATTGCAGTGGTCATTACATTATAAGTTACCATTCGAGAAGTACACTTTGGTAACAAATATATGGTGTCTTGTTCTATCACTAATGCGATGTTGTCCTTTCTAAACAT